TCGGGGTGCGACGTCAATTAGCCCCTCTGCAACAGCTACAAGTGACCCCCCCCCACAAAAAGATGGCGCTATACATCAGGAACACCTCAGTACCTCAGACGCCACTTTCAACAGCACAATCCAGCACAGACGGAGCACAAACGAACGAGATCGGTTTGATTCTCCTGCGCCGTTCTCGGGGGCGAGAGACATCACATCCCCCAAAAAATAAGGTGCTATGTCTCGCAAATGAAAGAAGCACAAATGCTACTTTCAATGACACAAACGGAGCGCTAAATAATATGGCTTCATTGATTGTGTCACAGAGCTAGTCCGGGCTGAGATTTCTTGGCAGCCACAAGCAAGACGAACAGCTGAACAGCCCCTTCCTGTGCAGAACCTGCCTTCGGATCTCGAGCTCGTGGTGTGAGGATCCCTGACCATGAAAACTAACAGCTAACCACCAGTTCACAGAACAAGAAAACAAAAAAAAACAGATGCCGCACAGCCCTTTGAGTCAAACCCAGGACCAGTTGCAGAATGCGCCCTTGGGTGCAGTTTCATGTCCGTCCAGCAGGGCGGCAGTACGCAGCTCCGGTACGCAGGCCAGCCAGTGGTCCCTGCAGGTTTCCTGCCCACTCGAGGAGTTAAACGCGAGTCGACCACCCGTCTCAACTCTGCAGACGTTGGAAACACAAGGAAACCAGTAAAATACCTACAAAACCAGAGCTATGCACAGCCCTCAGCTCTGCAAACACTGGAGCAGGGCAGTTCTATCCCTGGGGCAGAGCCTGGCCCCCACCTGCCACGCAAGCGGTGAAAATAAGAGGAAACCAGCCCCGTTTGTGCAGAACCCCCAGAGCCAAGCTTCACCATCACACATGCGCCTGTAACTGCGCGATGGCAACCTTCCAATAAGACTCCGGGCAGAGTCTGTTCCGTTCGGACACTCCGCATCCCAGGCCAAAGATGCAGCATAAACTGAAAAGGCTAACGGCAATTTTTTCTGCATTTACGCTGCGTCAAAGAATTTTTAATTGAAAGATGAGCCCTCTAAATAACAAAAACGACCGAGCAGAAGCAAGGGCCGTCTCCGAACGCCAGCGCTGCGATGCTGCTGCTGCTGGCCGGCGTGCAGCATCTGCAGGGGATTTTCTGCGCTGTCGCCAGACTGCAGCCTCCAGACACCGCAGGAACACGGGAATCCCAGCTCTTGTCAGCTCGGGCGGAACACGAGCCGGGAATGTGGCGTGGCAGTGTTGACACTACAACGAGCTGGCAGGAATCCGCCCTGCCACCCGCCCAGTCGGGATGTGATCGGTACAGTGCGGACTGGCAGCTGTGCAGGGATCTTCCGCACGCACGCAGGCCAGCCGGCACTGCCGATGATGCCCGTGCTGCAAGGATTTCTGTAGTTCTGGGAACTTTCTGTAGTTCAAGGAAAACTTACAGGGAAGATCTAAATTAGCTGCCCACACAGGCCAGGGCCAGATCCACTGCCGGGGAAGCCCAGAGTAACCTGAACCCGGGACAGAGCGCCAGGCTGGGGGGAACAAAGTGCCGAGTCACGCCGTGGGCGCAGAGTCGCCTCTCTCAGCCGGCAGTCCAGGTGGGAGCTCTGCGACCACTGCCCGACAGCCGCGTTAGCGGAGGGGGGGTTCGAACCTCCTGTTTTATTTTATAACAGTGACACATTTCCCCTTGAAAAAACACAGCCCTGCTTTTAATCTGCGAAGCAACAGCAGTGGGCGCGCCCCCCGCGAGTCAGGGAGCAGCGGCATGAAACAGAATGGGAGGACTGACTCTGCGGAACGGGTCAGCCATTAGTCGCCTGGGGCAACAAGAGCTGAAGAGCACCAGAGCTCAGGGGGCGGCCAGCACCAGCTGATAGCTGCGCAGCACTGGGGGGCCCTCTTGCCAACAACTGGCAACAGACTCCTCCAGAAACACACACATCCTGCTTCCCTCGGGGATGAGGTAAGCCTCTGGACTTCAGCCGAGAGCCGGGAAATTAGGAATTTAATTTCGACTTCCCAGGCACGTGATATTTTAACATCTCACATTCTTAGGACAAGACTTATCTTTATCTGGTCATTCCTAAGCAATAACTGCAACTCTCACCGAGCTGAGATACTTCAACACCAGCTCCCCCCACATCCGCTCCAATCCAGGCTTCACCTTCACTCCCGGCTCGTTGACTAATTAACTGGCAATTAACGACGTCGTTACGCCGCCGGGTCTACAGAAGACAGGCGCCGGCACTGTGAAATCTCGGCACTGAAGTCATAATCCGGCCAATCTAGGGCTCGTTCACGAATGTCCCGGAGGAGCATGTTTTATATGGAATCGGCGCTGGGGAGAGGGGGTGGGCAGGTGATCTCACGCTGGTGGATGAAGACACTGGAGACACTGGAGCGCCGCCGGAGACACACACTGTATTCTATTCTCCGAGCCTTTGTTCCTCAGAGTCTCGACATCCGCGGGCCGAGCGCCGGTGGCGATGTGACGTCGAGCGGTCCAAGTGAGCTGAAAGGCTCTCATTGTGTCGCGGCTTTAGCGCAGAAGTAGGCTGCTGCCCGGGGTGAGGGGGGGGGGGCAGTTGAGCAGGCCGGAGCAGAAAGCGCTGAGCAGGCAATCTCTCTGCCCGGGCACGGCGCACAGCGGCCAGGCGGCGGGCTCAATACTGCAGGCACCTCTCCGGGGCACGCAATGAAATCCCAGCAGAACTCTCTCTTATCCGCGGCTGTCAAACTCTGGAAACTGACGGCCCTTCATGAAACGCTGTTTTTTAATACATTTTGGGTGACGCCAATTGAACAATTCTTACCCTCCCCCAACAACCACACTGAACTATTGACACCGTCAGTCCACATGAGAAGCAGGTCGGTGTGTCCAGCACAGGGCACAGTGGCTCTTCTCGAAGAAGACGACAGATCTGAAGCCTTGACGCTTCGCCCCAGCAGCGGGGCTGCCCGAGAGAGGCGGTTGTGTCTGTACACCACCCTGGGGTACACACTGCTCCACTGCTCGCACACACACCTTTTCTGAGGCTTTTCTACACAGACAGCGCAGAGCAAACGGAACGAGTATTACTTCCACTCAACCTCGCAGCGCTGGGGACCAGGTTCAATTCCTGAGGCGTTGTCTGTGTGGAGTTTGCATGTTCTCTTGTGTTCATGTAGGGTTCATTCAGGTGCTCCAATTTCCTCCCACAGTCCAAAGACATGATGGCGGTCTCTGGGAAAACTGGCCCTGGTGTGTGTATGTGTCCTGCGATGGACTGGCGTCCTATCCAGGGTGTACCCTGCCTTGTACCCGTTCCTTGCTGAGATAGGCTCCAGCTCCCCCACAACCCTGTGCAGGGCAAAGCGGAGTCGAAAATGGCTGAACAGATTACTGAATCCATCCAGAAAGATGCGGCTTCCTGGCGTGGCATCCCAGGAGACGGTCTTGACGGCTCCCCGGACACTAAGCAGGCAGCCGTGCACACAGTGGCACAATGCAGAGACTCCGGTCAGGCTGGCCAGCTTGTCCCGGGAGGTGGAAGGAGACCGGGGGGCCCAAAGGAAAGCCATCCCACTGAAACGCAGGGGTGGGCGAAGAGGCACGTGCAAACTCCACACAGGGCGCCCAGCTGCTCTGACCCTCACTGGCCCTCTAGGGCTCCTGAACACCCCTGAGCTCGGGCTGGGAGCCAGCAAGTCTCTCGCCCGGCAAGGTGACCCGAACCTTACCTGAAGGACAAACCCTCGCTTGCGCCCCTCCGGAAAAAGAACAAAACATTGTAAAAAACGCTGTTGGTGGAGGTTGGGGGCCGGAGGAGGAGGCTGGTCTCTCTGCACCTCATCTCCTGCACCGCAATGTCCAGGCCCGATCTGCTCCACACACAGGGCGCAGCGCCAGGCCCGGCCCGTTCCGCGCAGACCTGACCCGAGGGGGAGTCGGTGACGGGTGTCGCTCGCCCGAGACACGGCCTGAGCGTCTCCCTCGGTGGGTCAGTTCGGGACCCACTATCCCGCAACACAAAAACTCCCTCGCACGCTGCCGTCCCTATCCCAGCACCCACGGGCCGCGGGGATAGCCGTGCATCGGCGACGTGACGGGAGCACACGCGAGAGCTCCGACCCACGCTGCCGGCACACGGATCCGGGAGGTGACGTGGGTGCGACACACCTACAACACCCCCCCACCACCCGCCGTGCCAGCCCGCAAGACCTTCAAATCACAGGGTGGGGGGGAAGAGAAGGGGGGGGAGGAGATCGGAGATCGGAGATCGGAGATCCCCGATCCCAGATCCCAGATCCCACCCGCTTTCCCCGGTCCCGCAAGTTCAGGCACAAAGTTAGCGAAACGGCGGAGTCGTCCGTCGCGCCGCCCGTAGCTGCGAGTTCGAAGCCAGCCGGGGCACGTTTGCAAGTCAAAACCGTCGACAAGCCAGCCGGCAGCCGGGCCTGTCGCGAAACGACCCCCGAGAAACACGAACTACCGATTATTAACGCGGCGGCCGGCGAAAGCCCACGAAAACGACCTCGGCTGCGAATAATAAAGAGACGAGATAATCTACCCACAGCCCAACAGCGGAAAGTTAATGCGGCGTCTGGCACAGCGCACGTCGCCGTTTGCACCGCAGACAGCCTCAATCACATTGTAATATTTTAGTATTAATATTTCGAATAACACAGGTTACTTGAGAACAATCTGGGAGGGGGAGTAAGAGGAGTTAAGGGGCCAGGATAATTAAAGATGAGTACGACACGGTACCGTGCAATAACACCTCTGTAACTTTGTGTGTCATTTTATACATTTATTTACAACAGCGAGACCAAATCCGACTCGCTGTGTACGTTAGTGTCACCCCGGTTCACCAGACGACCCGGATTTCTTATAAACAAAACACGAATAAATACAAAAACCAGTGTCAAGGCGAAACAAAAGCGACGCCGGGGAATACACCGTTAGACACCCCTGCCGAGACACAGGGGCGTTTGGCAGGTCGGGGATGTGTCCGGTTCGGCTCCTACCTTCCGACAGCTCCAGGTCCAGTTCGGCCAGCTGGTCCTTCACGTCTTTGGGCAGAGCCGAGAGATCCACACCGCGGTCCGCCATCCCCCTTCCACGGATACCGACAACACTCGCGCCCGTCACAAACAATAATTGAACACGGCAAAAAAACAAAACAAAACACGATAGGAAAAAAAAATGATGACAGAAGTCCTTTCTTCACGACGCGGAACGGGAATTAAAAGCCATCCGTGCACCTAGTCTCGCTCCGCCATACTGAGAGAGCAACTCGCCAGCGATTCCCGTCACGTGACCGCCGCCTGCCCGGCCGCCCGGTGCTGCCCCCTGGCGGCCCCGGGGGGTTCAGCGCGCTTTCTCTCCATCCCCATTCTCTTCACCCCACGGCCCAAATAATAGGAACCGCACGACGCGACCCCACGTCGCCTCCCGCCGGTTGAAGGAATAAACCCTCTCGGTGCGTGGCTGAACCGGCGAATGAAACAGACTTCCGTCACCTCCTCTGCCCAGCTTGCAGGTTTATCGCCCCTGACGACCATGACCACAGCCTTACGTGAAAGGACTTGGCCAAAGCAGTCCTGGTCCTTGTCCTCTGGTTGTTGCTGCAACTGAGATTTCAGCTTTCTATTTGAGAGGGATGTGTACAATTGTTTTCAGTTCTTAAAAGGCGAAATAGGATGCGTCATTATTGCCGGGTTCAGAAGCAGAAACATTTCAACCTGCAAAACGAAGCAATCGTGTCACTAAATCGGACATGCCCTTTTTGTTGACGTGTGACCCACCTAAAGGTGTGCGCAATACAGTGTCACTCCCTCCTGTGGGTGTGTCAGATACGACGTCTCACTCACCCACTGTGGACATCCCCGGGACAGCGTCACTCATGTATAAAGACAATACAACACAATTTCACAGGACACCCTGTTGGTGGTGTGTCCTATACAATGCTACTACCTGCTGTGTGCCTGGCTGAGGAACTAACCATCACGGGCGGAGCGGTGGCTCTGTGGCTAAGGATCTGCGCCTGTGACCGGAAGGTTGCCGGTTCAAATCCCGCGGCCGGCAGAGGAATCCTACTCCGTTGGGCCCCTGAGCAAGGCCCTTAACCCCAACTGCTCCAGGGGCGCCGTACAATGGCAGACCCTGCGCTCTGACCCCAAGCTTCTCTCCCTGTCTCTGTGTCTGTGTCTCCCTGGAGAAAAGCTGGGGTATGCGAAAAGACGCATTCCTAATGCAAGAAATTGTATAGGGCTAATAAAGAAACATTAAACATTAAAAAAACCTGTGTCCGTTCTTCATCAACTGATCAACACCTACGAGCTGTGCAGCCAGAAACACTGGGCAGCAGGTTGAGGTGTGGCTGTGTGCTGCAGTTGCTGGAAACTGTACCTTTGAACTGTAGTTTTAAAGAGTTGTGTTGTACTTTTTGACAGACACAACTGTCCCAAGAAAACCATTTAAAAGTCTAAACCAGCCCACAGACCAATTAAATCCCGAATTATCGGACGCCTGGAGCTGCAGGCGTGGCGCTGGAATGGAAGCCTGCAGGCGCAGGGTTGATGTTGGACCAGGTCAGAAGAAGGGAATTGGACAGGTGGACAGTTCAGGTCCTCGAGTTGCACAGCGCTCGTCTTTCCCAGGGTTCTCCTGCTCCATTCAGAGGCCAACACATGACACAGTGGGAGCCCCCAGTTTTTCACCCAGTGACGGTGTGAGTGATGCACGGGATGCTTTTCACTTGCTGTCACTGTTGCGATGATGAAAGGGAGGAGGGAGAAATTGCCTCAGCAATTGAAAGTAGTTTGCAGTTTCAGTGCCCCTCCTTCCACCTTCTAACTGCTTAATCCAATTCAGGGGGACAGGGGACCCAGAGTCTATCCCAGCGAGCAACAGCCAGAGGGCAGCGCACAACGTGGATGGGAGGAAACCCACACAAAAACAGGGAGAACACACAGACTCCACACAGACAGCACCCCAGAAACTGAACCCTGTGTTGCAAAGCAGCAGTACTAACAGTGTCTTTGTTCCTGCTAATGCCCTGACTGCAGTGAGTGGACTGGTTGTGAACTTTGCTTCTTAAACTATGGTGCATTACTGACCCCATTATGTTACCATTTTGTAATAAAACACAAAACCAACATCAAATAATTTCAATTGGGTTGCACATGAAATTATAAAATGCAAAACGCTACAAGCACAGCTAGACCCAATTCAAAGTTGCCTTCAAGGCATTACAAGACTAACAAAGCCAGGCCTGCTGTTGAGTATGCTGGTGGTGGACCAGTAGGTGGGGCTCTTTGCTCTGGACCAGAATCTCTAATCCAATGCCCCAGGATAGTGATAGAGGAAACTGTACTAAAGCAGGTGCTGTCCTTCAGATGAAGTGTAAAACAGGTACTGATTATTTGGTAACTAAAGATCTCATATTATTGTTCACAAGAAAAGAGGTGTTAACCCCACGTTTCTGGGATGTCCCGAAAGTTCTTCCTTCATTCAATTGCTGAGGAAATTTCTCCCTCCTTACCCACTGGCTACTGATCAGTGGGGCTGCTGGTGCAGAAATGCAGCCTTGCAAATCTGAGGTGGAGGCAACAGTTCAGTGGAAGATGATGCAGGGCCTCTAGGGCCTTTAGGATTAAAAGTTTTACATTGCACCTAATTTCTAACCATGGGAGCCTCTGCACAGCACACACAAACTCAGAAACTACAAATCCCACAATTCAAGTTGAGGCCGAGCCTTGCAGACTAGTGCAGCTGTTTCCCTTGGAGACTGAAAACAAACTCAAACTGTCCCTCTCCTGCCCTCAGCTGGCAGAATAAAACACTGAAGCAAAGAGGAACACTGCGATTCTGTCTCTGAAAAAAAAAAATAGTCCGGCATCTATTGCCAGACAACATGAACAGCTGGAAGTGGGATGTAACTTTTTTATTTTCCGCCCAAAATGGATCAGGAGCTTTCCTACTCTTTCTAAACTACAAAACAAGCAGAAAACACATCTGAGAACACAAAGGTTTCTATCCAAACATCACTCGTAGGCAGAAATAGGAGTAGTGGTAAGGGTGCAGACTGGAGGGTCCCAGGTTCCATGCCTAGATGGGGGGGCACAGCTGCTGTATCGCTGAGCAGGCTGCTTCACTCAGATTGCTCCCATGAAACACCTGGCTGTATAAACGGGTACAAATAAATTGGTCTGGATAAAAGCCATCAGTAGAATTACAAATAATGCAGCCTGGCTTTCAACTTTGTGTATCAAATTATTTTAAAAGGTACAGTGCCCATGGTCCACTACATAAGGGAAAATGAGGACCTAGTGGCACCCAAAGATCACTTCTTTTGAGGCACTGGGAGATTCCCAGCATCTTACAGGAGACTCAGTGGCTACAGGAGGATGAGAACATCTCTGAATGTCACCGTCGTAAGGCACCCTGTCAATTGGGTGCAACAACTTGGCAGATCCGCAAGCAACAGTAGCTAAGCTACCAAGCTCAACCTGCACTCTCTGTGACACATGCAGCTGGTAGCCCCCCATACCCCCCAAGGCCTGCTGGATCACATACCTCGAGAAGCCCTCAGAAGCACCAAGGTGTTTGTGACTTCTGACCTGTCCAGCAGCAGGTCAGAACTCAAGTCCCTGAACACGCAGCAAGCAAATGCGCTGGTCCTCAAGGCACTGCATGGGAAAGTGATCTGCTGTCAGCTGTTAGAACAACAAAGCCTCTTCGCTCCAAAGCAACAGCAGAATTTGCCAAGTTTTACATGAGCAATTTGTCCCCAGATGGCATTTGATTCACCGTCTCCAAGGGTCTCCTAGCACCCAGTAATCCACACAGCGCCCGGGCAGCTAAACAAAACCACTTACTCAAGGACTGGCCGCACGACCAGTGGGTCACCTGACCTTCATGGCTCAAAGCAAGGCAATCCTGTTTGTAGAATCAGCTTTTCAACATTTGTCACCCTACAAATGTCACCTACAGAAGAAAATGGTAAATCGCTGTATGAAAAACCCATATGTAATCAAGCAAATGTTAATCAAATTGACCACTATGAGCCTCGCATCTCCATCAGAGCTACCATTGGTACACAAGCTTCCAATCCCACCACACCTACAGCAGAGTTAGAGTAACAAGGACAGCCCTGCTCCTGCTGGGATTCGATCACGAACACTCACAGGCACTTTTGGCATCAGAGCCAGAGTGTTTCTCCCTGCAGGAAAATTCAGCTTCTGAGGAGGAGGATGTGACCTTATCTTACAAGCGAGGTGCCAAACAAATTGAGGTACAATGAGCATTAGCTGGAGGACTGAGACATCTCTCGCTGGCCAGATCACAGCCAAGGCTGCAACAGGGCACCATTCTGAGCACAAAATAGCCTTAAACAGGGAAGACAACGAAGGGACTTGATTGAAGTATCCAAAATCCTCAAAGAGCACAGAGAAAGTTAACTCAGCAGACTTCTTTATAATCAATGAAACCTGAACCAGAACATCAGTGAGCACTGTGGGGAACTGTGTTTAAAACTGAAAACAGACAGCACTTCTTCACAAAAAGGGTGGCGAGTGTGGAACAAGCTACCCAGCCAGGTGGTTGAAGCCGATACCCTGGCTTTAAGAACACCTACTGTAGATGAGACCCTTGGTACAATAAACTACTAACACATCGGCTGGATGGGCAGAATGTCCTCTTGGTTGTGAACATTCTTGAACTATACCCGTCACCCACAGAAGCTGCTGCTGCTGTATGGCGCACATAGGACACGCTGGCTGACTGAAGCCAATTGCCGTCAGCACTGTTATGTGGAGAGTCCTTGTTGCAGAAGGCTATCAGCACTGCCCAGCAGGTTCACGGGAATCCCTCACACTGCGAAAAACATAAATCACGTTTTCTGCTCTATTTCCAATTCAGTATCTTAAATTAAAAAAAAAAACATTTACACATGTTTGAACCAAATTCTATTCGGAGAAATATCAATTTTCTTCTGAAAAAAATAAATCACAAAGTGCCAATTTCTAATAAACTGCAACTTGTTTTTTCTTCTCTTTTAATTAAAACTGCAGCACGGTAAGTGTTGATAGTATTTCACTTCAGCATACATGAGAAAAAAAGATATATATAGTACACATATGTACAATACATTGAAAATGTCTAAAATTACAAGACCAGACAGGGGGGAAAGCCACTTACACACAAAATAGTTTTGTACACTAACAGTATATTAGATGGTATTTGCATCAATTATTAAATTTTTCTGATTATTAATGTAATGGGGGGTTGATTGGGGGGTATATACAGTATTACAAACTTGTTGGGCATCAATACGCCCGAAAACCTCTTGGGTTTTTGTTCTCCCTTGAAATTAATTGCATAATAAATAAGATATTGAAGTGTATCACAGGGCAACACAGACTTGTGAAAGAGAAGGTCACGACTGCCTGCAGAACCCAACGGGCCAAGAAAAAAACATCAAAAGACTTATTAGTATTTAAAAATAATTACAATTTAACAGTCACAGATACATTATGAACCTAGGAAATTAACAAATTAATTGCAAGTTCATCTTTTAAAAAATGCAGTTCTATCTCAACCAAAAATACATCAGCAAAGCATTTTATTCTAAGTGTGTTGGTATCATCCTAACAAAAGCAAATAAAAATAAAAGTGCCAATGACAGTTGCTAATATGAAAGCTGAATGAAATATTCTTTGTTTTTCTCATTTTTTCCAAGACTACAATACAGAGGTTTCAGGGAACAGATGGGGTGCCAGTGACTACTGTCCCATGTGTTGTGTCAGTGGGGGGAAGGGGGCACTCCAGACAAGGGAGATTTGGGGAACAGCAATGCCAGTCCAACGGCAAACGCATTTGAGCAGGAACCAACTCATCCTTGATTCACAAGCACAAAGTGCGAGGCACAGAAAAGCTTGACTTCTACTTGTAGCAGGGCAAATCAAGTATAAGAAGTGGCAGAGGTACAAGGACTTCTTAAAATTTGAAACCAAAAAAGTCTAACAAAAAATCTGAATATATTTCAGATGAATGTGCCATTTTTTTCCCAGACAGAGATATACATTTTTTAACCTAAGCCATACAAACACACTACTTAAAGTAGTTAAACCAGCAGAACAATGTCACACTAATATCTTGTGCCACAATAATTCAGGCACTAACAACCTTCTGGACTTCAACCAAAACATTTTTTGATGTATTTCTCATTCTGAACCTCCACAGAACTAAGCTCAAAAACCACTGAGTGGACTCTTTCTCGAACTGAGGGAGGGGGGAAGGAAGAAATAATAAACTAGGATCAAATGATTTTTACTAACTGTACTACTATGTCAGCCTCTAAATGATGAGCTAGAAAATACTTTAGTAAAGCAGTATTGTTTTACTATTGTCTGATCTGCTGGGGGCCTATTGCAACTCCGCAGTAATTGTTAAAATGCCAGGCCTACAGTGGAAAGGTACATAAATGCCATTTCAAACTAAGTGCTTTGACAGCTGCAACATTTTCTTCATTTTAAAACTTGTTTTAAAACCCCTACGGACTCAGGCAAATACCAGGCTTGTAAAATAACGCCCTGTGTCACTAAACCCTGCTGAAACATGCCAGCTAGCAGACATTGATGACAATGAAGAACAGCAACAGTGGCTGTGGTCCTTTTTAAACATTGCTGGGAAACGTTTCAAGCACCAAAAAAAAAGGCGAGGGATGAAATCCGATTAGATCGAGTTCAACTGGTATAATAGGAGCAAGCTATTAACCCATTCTTGCCACTCCAAAGGGCTATAGCCTGGTCTCTCAAGACTGACAGGATCAACAGGCACACATGTGATTTTACATTTTAAGGCGAAACGTTTTTTTTTATACAGCTGCTGCAGAGGTGATGCTGGGGGCCACTGTCAATGTTAACAGTGTGGAGGGGGGAGTGGCGACACAGAGTAGCTCTGCTCCCTTGGCTAAAACATAGCAAATATGCAGTGCAGAGAAGCCTGCACCTGAACTGCATTCGTCTATAGAATAGTACGGTCATCAGCCACACTGAGCAGCCTCAACGTGGAAAACCCAAAGCCAAGAAGGAAACGCAGCAAGCACAAACACACCAGTACCCAGTATCCCAGGCACACTGGGCACTGTGCATCAGAGAAGGCCAGACAGAGATATCCATACCATCAGTATGGATGCAGAACTGGCAAGGCTCCATGTTTCTATACCAAAAGGCATTGAAGTGGAAAATGATTGCATGCGTTGCGTTTTTAATGCCTCTCTTGTGTATTTATGTACATCTACACAGGGGGCTCAAACAATCTTCATAATCTAGTCTGCAAAAAAGACCTAAGGAAGTAAAACATTTGTGTGCTAAAGCTGATCTCTGACACTGAAGTCCGGGGGGGTGAAAGCAGGTTTACAACAGTTCAGCTGCAGGCAAAAGAGCCTTGGATTTCATAAAATCCTGCTTGACACTTATCTGAACCCTGTGTGTATATATAACTTGCAGTCCATAAAGACATGAAGGGGCCTCCTGAGGGGCATAACTGGTAAAGGCACTATCTTGAGCACAGGCTGAGTTTTATGATCGCGGGCTCAACCCTGGACTACCGTACATCACTAGCTGGGACTCTGTGACCGGGATTCCTCACACAACAGCGCACATTTAGCTGTGGGTGGGATCATTTGGCCTGGGCTCCTCAGTGACACGGCTAGCCCTGCGGACTCCTGAGTGATTGCAGGCAAGCAGCGCTATCTGTGAGGAACAAGCTTCCCCTCCAATCTGTACCAAACCACTGGTTCGGGGCTGTGCTGTGTGTGAGGGACATGCCTCCCCTCCAGTCTGTACTGAGCCCAAGGTACGGTACTGTGCTGTGGGTGAGGGACGTGCCTCCCCTCCAGTCTGTACTGAGCCCAAGGTAC